CGTTAGACGCAAAGAAAAGAGTACTGAAATGTTGGGTAATATCAGTCCTTCTATATGGCAGTGAATGCTGGACAATCTCCTCACAGATGAAGAAGAGACTTGAAGCAACTGAAACAAAGAAAAGTGTACTGAACTGTTATGTGATATCAGTCATCCTATATGGCAGTGAATGCTGGACAATCTCCTCACAGATGAAAAAGTAACTTGAAGCAACTGAAACAAAGAAAAGTGTACTGAACTGTTATGTGATATCAGTCATCCTATATGGCAGTGAATGCTGGACAATCTCCTCACAGATGAAGAAGAGACTTAAAGCAACTGAAACAAAGAAAAGTGTACTGAACTGTTAGGTAATATCAGTCCACCTATATGGCAGTGAATGCTGGACAATCTCCTCACAGAGGAGGAAGAGGCTTGAAGCAAACAGAAACGTGTTTCTACAGTGGGACGCTAAGGATGCCATGGGCCGAACATTTGAGCAACAACGATGTTCTAGATAAAATGAAATCTAAAGGTAAACTTATACTTAACATCATGAAGAGAAAACAGAAATTTCTGGGGCACATAATGAGGAAGGAGGGCTTGGAAAATCTGATACTCACGGGACAGATTGAGAGCAAGAGGAAAACAGCGCGTGACATACTTGAAGAGCGTGAGTAAATGGATGGTGGAACAGGGTTTGGGAGAAATAAAGAGAATATTTATTAAGAGCTACAAAGGACAGGAAATTTTGGAGAGTCATGATAGCCTACGCCCCGAGAGGACACAGCACATTCTGAATTGTGTTTAATGCAACATGTGGTTTGCATGGGCTGAAAAGTCCCGCAGGGTAGAAACGAGAAACAGATTATCTCTAAGGCACTCTGTCGCTAAGAGAGTTAAAGGAATACGACATTTTGCGCCCTTTTCTCATATACACTGCTTTATATAACGCCATCTACAGGTCGTTAGCAGAAGCTCTTTGGCAGACGACTCGAGTAATCCCAGGAGTCATGCCTTTAAAGAGACATTGTCTTTATGGCGCTTATTAAATACTTCAGCGTCGACAGATAATTTATTAGGTTTTGTTATAAGTAAATTTCTTTTTGGGGAACCAGTTGTAATGACAAATGTATAACTCTTACTACTAATCATAAGTGGTTGTGAGGAATAACCTTGGAGCACACTTAGTTTTTGCACGGCAGTGGCTGTATAAACAATGGATTAAAAGAAAAAATGATTCTTCATGACAACGCAAGACCACAAAATATCACAGAAAATCATTCAGGATTCAAATGATCTTTTCTACCTCAGCCACCATATTCACCTAACCTTGTTCCAATCGATTATTACGATTGGTGGGCCATTGCAAAAACTTTGATAGGGAAAACATTCCTAATTTCCTTTTAATCATTTAAAAATTAAGGCAATTGTTGAAACTTGAATAAAGCATGGAATAATAATAATACAACACAAAATGTACTTAAACAAAATGTATTGACACAAGAACGTGTACACAATATTTACAGATAGTTTGGTATATTCTTGGGAAGACCGTTCCTGTAGAATGGGTTGACTTAGTCGCAGTCGGGCAGAGTCTCTGGATTGGATCTCTTGATTCCTCCCCTCGTCTTCCTGGTACCAACCATATTTATATGGTCGGTACTCCACTATGTAAATTAGGTGGATCGTACCACAACAGCAATAAAGATGCAATAAAGATTGCTAGAGAACATGTGAAAAAGAAAAAAACACATTATTAAGTAGAGAGAGAACAATAACAGAACAAAAATTAAGAAGACAGAAGATAATGATTGACATTGCATTTAAATTTTGAAGATGAAAGTTGACTGACACGTCGACTTTGTGAATGGTACGTAGACTTTAAGTGCATTACTAGATTAGCGGCAAGATAAAATCCAAAGAAGAATCAGCAATATTATTGGTTCTAATCTGGCATCTCGGCTTCAGTCACTTTCCCACCGCCGTAAGGTTGCCTCTCTGTGTCTTTTCTATAAATACTTTCATGGTAATTGTTTGAATGAGCTTTTCGATATGGTACGTAGACTTTTTGAATTTATGCGCAGTATTAGACTGGCGTCGAGATTTCATCAATTCACAGTTGAATTGGCCGCTAGATGTAACCGTAAGTTCAATGCTAACAGTTTCTTTCCTCGAACTTCTCGCTTGTGGACCTCTTTCCAGCCAACTTTGATCTTCACAAATTTAAAAGCAATGTCGATCGTTATCTACTGTCTTCTTGATTAATCTTCTATTCTCACTCCTTAATATTTCTGTTCAGCCATCATCACGACCACCAATAGTGGTATTTTTATTTTTAAATGACCATTTGTGAGAGAGGGAAGTGTCCATGACTGGGGAAATGTTACACAACTAATACATTATTAACGTTGCTTTTCTGTTGGTCCAGGTAATAAAATTTAAGCAACATTGAATCAGAGCCGCAGTAGTTGTTAATATCAATCGACTCTACCTTGAGTTGGATATCGACGTTTATGGCGCTAAACTTCACACGACAAAAATATATATGTGGCACCAGTGATAATCGAACTGATGGAAACACTTAATGATTTTGCGCTATTAAGCACTACTCAGACTGACTACAGCAACAACGGTCTGCGAGATGAGACGATTTTGCGGTGGGGACCACAAATGTAGTGCATCAAGTGAGGATCGAACTGACTGCATCTGAAATAGTCTGCAAGAATAGTGTATCATTGTTCGTGTAAAATAGATGAAAATAAGGATTAATTAAAATAAAAAAATCTCCTAATAAACATATCTACATATTGTTAGAAATATATCTTTATTTCCGAAATAGAATATATTTGATAGGGTTAGTTGACAACCAGCAGTCTGGATTATCGAAGAAACAAAATTGTGGTTCTACAGATACTGAGGATGCCATGAATCGAGCATGTGAGCAACGACGAGATTTTAGAGAAAATGGAAACAAAAAGAAAATTAAAATCAGGAAGAAAGATTTGAAATTTCTGGGGTACGTAATAAGAAAGGAGGTCTTGGAAAATCTGATACTCATAGGAAAGATTCAGGGAAAGAGGGACAAAGGAAAATGGCGCATAACATAGTTGATGGTCGATAAATGGACGGTAGAACAGGATTTGGGAGAAACAGCAAAAAGACAACATTAAGAGCTACAAGGGATAGGAAGATGTAGAGGGCCATGATCACCTACATTCTGAAGACAGATGACACATAAAACGAAGACTAGATTTGCTTCAAGAATAGTGTAATGAGTGTAAAATAGATAAGAATACGTTAAAGCTAAGGATAAAAAATATTCTAACGAATAAACACCTCTACATGTTAGAAATATATCGTATTTCTGAAATACAATATATTTGATAGTTGACAGTCAAATTCCCGAAAATAAGAAAAAGAAAAAAAAAGAAACAGAATGTAATGGTGCCTTTTCAATGGCCTACGAATTGAGGAATCAGCAACTAGCGAGTAGGTGAGTTTCTCTCTACACAAAATATTCTTCAGTGAAAATATTTGCCGTGTAGGGTATGTGACAGCAATGCTATAATAGGGGTGTTTCCCTCTCCGTCACTGACAAGTAGTCAGCAAACGTTACCTACTGGAGACAATAATCAGTAAAGACCATATCCGTTGTCCTATTTAATACTGGAATAAAACCTTTCTCTTGCTAAGAATACGGCTGATTTTACTTTTAGTAAGAAACAGAGACAGTGGACATTGATGTTGTTATATTCCGTGCTAAGGGGATAAATACTTAACACCAGGTGAATAATAGAAGAAAGGTTTATTGTACACAACCAGTACAATATGAAATATGGTACAGTTATACCCACAGGTCAATCTAGTAGTGAGCGCCACTAATTGGAAGGTCGGACTTTCTTGCGTCGTCTCGCTCTCACTCTTCCGTCTTCTGTCCTCTCGTAGACGGTTGACTTTATAGGTACTTACGATCTATAGTGTAATCATTCCTGGCAGTGACTGGTTATTCCAGTACGTCAAATGTTTTGAGAAACTAAGGTGGCAGTACAATCGAAACGGCCATTACGAACAAAGGTCGTAGTCGCCAAACACCAGTATATATGATATTGTGACAATGTCACAGTAATTCATTAGTCATAATTCCACGTTGAAACATTCCTCTTTAGATAAGTATCTTTGAAGGAAATTATATTTAAAATCTAAAACAGAAAGTTAGAAAATGATGAATATTAAAGAGACTTCAGAGCAGTAGCCGGAGGAGTAAGGATTATAATCGGACTTCACCTATCTTCAGTGTGTCTCTGTTTCAGTCTCTTGGTATTGGCTGGCTTATATAAGTATTTCTCAAATCTCTGCCATTGATTTATTACTTGTTTATCGATATCATTACTTTTCTTCGTCTAATAAACAGATGGCCTCTTATGGAATGCATTCAACCCCAAAGCTCTTAACATTGGACTTGGTAAGCTGTAAACGTGTTTGGTGTTTGATAGTACTTTAAATAAACATATCGAGAATTCTGCTTTGGATTCTGGGGAATTTTAAAAGACCATAAATCTTGCCATAGCACCCCAGAGGCAACTGGGTATGTTGGTGAAGGTCTAGTCTTACTAAATCTTTATTAATTCTATTTGGTTTATTTCGGGATCATATATTCGCAGAGTCTTTACAAAGATCATTGTATGGTTTCTGTTTATTATTTTTAATTTGATCTATCATTCTTTTTTCTCCTGGACACATAATTTGCTTCTCTGAATTTTCCCAGACTTTGATCTTGATTCATTCCCGCTTCAAATCATCATTAGGCATTCTTTTACAATAAAACGTTAACCCAGTGTTACCACCGTTTTCCATCACACATACATTAAAACGCAGGCAAAGTTTTACCACCGTTTTCCATGTTTCATGCATTAACACTCTGACCCAAGTTTTACCACCGTTTTCTATCACACATGCATTAAAACACAGACCAGGTTTTATCACCATTTTCTATGATTCATGAATTTACACTCTGACCCATGTTTTACCCCTGTTCTCTGTCTCTCATACAGTAAAATTCTGAATCGATGTTAACACGCTGTTATACACTCAGAAGGGTGTTATCTTTGGAGAAGAATCTTATTCCTTAGCGAGTATAACAATCGCCATATTGTAATCCTGTCGACAGTGTGAAATAAAATAAATATGTTGTAAATGCTGAATATTTTCTCATCTTTAATATTAGAATTAGTAAACAAAAATACACTAGTTTTTAAAAAAAGAATACACACTACTATGCCAGCTGTGACAGAGCAATGAGAAGCAATCTTTTAAAATTTATTTAATTATTACGAATAATATCTGATGTTAAAAACCGAAAACGAATGTTTTACGCCACCTAGCTGCGTATACGATTAAATTATATGTCAATAGACAAGAAATTAATAAAAGAGAACGAATTGATAAAAGAAGAAAGAGGAGTGTGAATAGAATTTTTTTTTTATCAGTAGAATTCATTAATTGTGTACATCGAGTTGATTGTAAAAGAATTACAGAATCAAAAATGATTTATTAACGGCAGACGAAACTTTAATTACATACACTAGGCAAATGACGCTATGTTTATGGCAGAAGGAAAAAATTTAATAAATATTAGATAAGTTAGTTGACGAAAATAAAATGAAATGAATTGATATTAATTGTAAGAAGATGGAATGCATGGTAGTGAGTAAAATGGACAGTCCAGAAATGGGAGGTCAAAATCGGAGATGTCAAAATTAAATGAGTGCGGAAAAACAACTACATGGACAGTGTAATAAGTAACGACGGTTAGTTTAACACGCAAGTTCAACTAGAAGGACAGTGTAATAAGAGACGTTGGAAACTGCAACACGCAAATTCAACTACATGGACAGTGTAATAAGAGACGTTGGAATGTGTAATACGCAAATGCAACTACATGGACATTGTAAAAAGAGACAACGGAAAGTGTAACACGCCAATTAATTCAACTACATGGACAGTGTAATAATATACGATGGAAAGTGTAACACGCAAATTCAGCTACATGGACAGTGTAACAAGAGACGATTGAAAGTGTAACAATGATATTCAGTTGCACATATGTATAGCGAATTTGATTTTTAGAAAATAAGGAAGGCAGTAAGTAATCGAAAAATAATATTAGAAACAAAGAAAAAAGAACGGGTATACTATGTAATGTTTATTTCTCTTTAGGGCAATGAAAGATGGACAGTTTTTTTTAACAAGAAGAAAATGTATTGAATCAACTGATATATGATTCTACAGACAAATTTTAGAGATTTCCGGTCATGATCCATCTTGAATATTTATAAATCTATCATTCATCCGTGCATTGAATATTGCTGCCATATTTGATCTTGTGCTCCTGATGTTTATCTTAAGATCCTTGATAAAATCCAAAGAAGTGTCTATAATGCAATCCATCCTGACCTGGGATCTCGACTTCAGTTACTTTCTCATCGACGTGACGTCATTTCCCTCTGTCTCTTCTACAAATATTTTCATGGCAACAGTTCAGATGAGCTTTTTTCCCTGACTACAGGAATTTAAGCGTGCTACTAGATTGGCAACTAGGTCTCACCCTTTTACTGTGGAACTAGCTAGATGTAACAGCCACTTCTACTCTAACACTTTCTTTTCTCGCACTTCTCGCCTGTTTAACTCCATTCCTATTTCTTGCTTCCCTGATAACTATAGTCTTCAAAAATTAAGTGTAACGTCAATTTTCAGTCTTCTTAAACCATGTTCCGTTTTTGTTATTTGCTCTATCCTCCCTATTAAAGTCTTTTTATTCTCTTTCACTTTCACTTTCACTCCTTGTCAACCCCTGCGTTCTGGTAGCAGTATCGCCTTGCTTGGTGTGAAATGATTAAAAAATAATTTAAAAACGATTAAATTCTGTAACGGTTAAGAACTACAAAGAAACTGTTGATAGCAGTAAAAAAAAGCTGAAGCTGAAATTTAGGGGCCAAATATAGAGGGAGAAAGATTGTAGAATTTAGAACTGTCGGAACAAGTCAAGAGTAAGTGAAGCGGGTCAAAGCAGCGAGTAACCTACTTGACAAGTTTGAGAAAACAGATGAAGAGATATGTATCACAAATAGTCAGAGGAATTGTAAAAGAGCAGATTTTGCTGAGATAAAAAAGGAGTCTGTGGAGAACTATGACCACCCACGTCCTTCAGGGACATGGCGATACCAGAGAAAGAAAGAATGAATATTTTCTTTGTTGTTATTCACAAGACTTTACCTTTTATAAACAGAACTGATATTATTTACACAATTTATATTCGGACTATTGTCCTTATCTTTGTTGTTATCAATATGGAAACCTCTAATGAAAAAATAAATACAATGGCAGCAAGGCTTCAACAGCAGCAGCAGTATTTGCAACGTAATCACATTAAATTTATTACGGAACAATAGTCTAGTGAATAAAAGCGTTGGTTTGTGAATTTGGTGATATAGTGGCTGTGAGTTCAATTCCTAGGTTGGGCAGTGTCTATTTGGACTCAATGGAAATGGAGTACTAAATATAAAATAGAACTCAACGATATAAGCAGATTAAATAAAATAAATGGTTCAGTTAAGAATTTCCTGGTAAGCCAGATCGATATACACCTGAGGAAGGGTAAAGAACACCACGGCTTAATATCAAGAAAAATGAAGATAATAGTCAGAATATAAATAGTGTAAATAATAACTCTTCAACTTCAAACAGAAATAACACTGCTAAAAAAACAAAACAAAGAAATTGAAATGGTGTTGAGACGTCAAACATCTTATTTTTTAAATTAATTTGAGAGTGTTAAATCTGAAAATGACTTCACTTTTTCTTGGTTAGCTACCGTTTTTGCTGTACAGAAATGCCTCATTTTTGGAAAAACAAATTTCATTTGTTTTCTGTATATATGATATTGACCGATGGCAATATTTCTCAAAATAAAATCATAGAAACCTATCAGTTCGTATTTAATCCAACAAATATTGGTCTGCTTATTGAGAAATACTATTTTTGCAATAACAATCAGACCTTAAATCTTTAAAAATAACACGACTGAATATACCAAGACCAACAAGTATTTTCATCAAATCATTTAATATACTAAAGAAAATAAACTAAAAGCAGAAATAAAAGCTTCGTGCATATAAGAACTATGGTAATGTTTTTCTTTTTCTTAATTGTCTTTCATATTCAATGTTATTTAAGTCACTTTTGATACTCCAGCAGTATCATGTACAATGGAACAGGTGCATTCAATTGTGAGCGTCTTCAGTTGGAGTTTCTTTCCAACTGCGAAAATAAAATGCTTTCAATATGATTGGTTTCCTTCCGTAGAAGATTTTACGGTTTCGTTTTTTTTATGTTACCTTAATTATCAGGTTTACTAAAGTGTATTACCAATAAAGATTATCAGTTAATTTGAATTTTGTCGATAAATTGGAAAAATTTGGTATCTTATTTTAATATCTTTGGCTCAAAAACACTTTTTCTTATAAAAAATACTTTATTTCAGGTGGCTAACATTAATTGCTCGGGCTACATGAAAATTAATGGGTTTCTACGACCTTTATTAATTAAATTTTGCGATCAGCCAAGATCGTAAATTGAACTTTTTTTCCAAAAAGAGAAATTTCAGTAAAGCAAAAATGGTAGCTAACCATAAAAAACTAAGGTCATTTTTGGTATCAGCAAGATCAAATTCGCTAAAAAACGTGTTTTGTTTCTTGGTACCAAACATCGTGTTGACAATCTAATTCGTGTTCCTTGTTATTTTATTTATTTTTTTTTTTTTTTTGGTGTCTGTTGTCTTTCGTTCTCTTTTTTTTTCTCTGTTTTTCTTTCTTTATTTCATCTGTCTTTCACTTTTATTCTCTTTCTCATCCCGTCTATTTCACCTTTCTTCCTTCTTTCGTCTTCTTTTTCTTTCGCTTTCTATTTGTTCATCAGTTCATTTCTTACTCTTTTATTCCACCTTTCATTTTTTTTTTTTTTTTTATTCCATCTTTCTTTTAACTTTCGCTATTACACCATCTTTCTTTTTTCCTTAAACTTTTATTAAGTTTTTGTTTTTCTTTCTCTTTTATTACATTTTAATTTCTTTTCTTTCACCTTTCTTCCTTCTTTCTTTTCTTTTGCTTTCATTTCACCTGTCTTTTTCTTTCTTTCTACTTTATTCAGCCTTTCTTTCTTTTTGCTTTTATTAAGTCATTGTTTTTGTTACACATTTTTGTTTCTTCTTTTCTTTCTCTTTTATTCTCGAAACATTTTTTCGACTTCATTCTGTCTTTTTCCTTTCTTTCTCGTTTATTCAATCTTTCTTTCTTCTCTTTCTGCACATCTTTGTCGCCATTTCTTCGCCTTTCCCCTTTTCCTCCTTTCCTTTCTTTATTTTTATATTGTTTCCTTTATTTAATCCGTTTCGAATTTACCTTTCTTCCACCTTCCTGTCTTCCACACTTTTGTTCTTCACCTTGCTTCCTCCACCATCCCCCTTCTCTCTCTTTCTTTCTCTCTCTCTCGCTCTCTCTCTCTCTCTTTCTCTCTCTCTCAATTCCCTACTTCAATGTTAACCTATTTTTCTTTTTGTTTCTTTTCTAATCTTTCCTTCTCGGTCTTTCTTTCTCTTCCTCGAGCTTTCTTTTTCTTTCTTTCTTTCTTTCTTTTTTTATTTACCGCTATCTCTTTTTTCGCTCTTTTTTCTTTTTCGCTTCTTTCTTTCTTTCTTTCTTTCTTTCTTTCTTTCTTTCTTTCTTTCTTTCCCCTCTACAAGTCCCTACTTCAATGTTACCCTATTTTTCTTTTTGTTTCTTTTCTAATCTTTTCTTTTCGATCTTCCTTGAGCTTTCTTTCTTTCTTTTTCTCTCATTTCTTTAACGCTTTCTCTTTTTTCGTTCCTTCTTTCTTTTTCACTCCTTTTTCTTTCTTTCTTTCCTTCTTTCCTTCTTTCTTTCCTTCTTTCTTTCTTTCTTTCTTTCTTTCCTTCTTTCTTTCTTTCTTTCCTTCTTTCCTTCCTTCTTTCTTTCTTTCTTTCTTTCTTTCTTTCACCTCCACAAGTCCCTACCTCACTGTTAACCTATTTTTCTTTTCTAATCTTTTCTTCTCGATCTTCCTTTCTCTTCCTTGAGCTTTCTTTGTCTTTTTTTTTCTTTCTTTTTATCTTCTTTCTTTTTTCTTTCTTTCTTTCTAATCATAATGGAAGCAAAAGAATGCTTGGTATGTTACTACCTTGTTTATCCAGGCCATGTTGTTCATCCAATCCTTGAGTCGTCTTGATTTATTTTATTCAAAATACTTTGTCACTTCTTTCTTTACATCGTCTGGTTTTCAATTTATATTGAAGATTGGTTTCGCTAAAAAAAAAAAAAAAAAAAAAAAAAAAACTATGTCGCGTTTTAACTTAAAAATCATTGGTCCATGTCATCTTGCAATGCTGATTTCCATGTCAACACAGTTTAGATCTAGAAACACTTTATTTTCGACAATAAGCCAGTAAATATAACTAATTTTAAACAATATATATTGGGAAAAATACATCGTTTTTTATATTCCAGAACAATTTTAGGAAAATCAATGACAAAAGGGAAAAATTTCGTGTGACGCGTTTCGTTCTTTAGGATTTAATCTGACTAAAATAATGTTTACGTTGGTGTGACGGTGAAAGGGAACGCTGAATATCTGTCTATATTTCTGAGATGAGGTATTATGTACACTCTTTACATTATTCGGACTATTGTCCTCATCTTTGTCGCCATATTTATTACAACGTTTCGGCCGTTGTAGGCTCCGGGCTTCTTCAGGTGGTTGGAATGTCGAACTGAACCCTTTATTTCGACCACTGGGGTAGACTGTTCTAGTTCCACGTGCCATGGATATCAGTTATCTCCTGTTAATTCCCCTCTCCAAGTTCTCTACTGCCTTAACCAGGTATTGAACTCACAAACCTTTGGGTCCTGTTACTGGATCTAACTAACGCCTTTATCCACTGTGCCATGTGTCCTTGAGGTACAGTGGATAAAGGCGTTGGTTAGATCCCGTGACAGGGCCCAAAGAGTGTCAGTTCAATACCTGGTTAAGACGGTGGAGAACTTGGAGAGGGGAATTAACAGGAGATAACTGATAACTGACATCCATTAGACATGGCACGTGGAACTAGAACATTAATACAAGAAAAAGCGATAAAAATCTACTGGATTTAAGAAATCTGTTTTTTCTAAAAAAAAGAAAAAAAAAAAGAGGAAAGTTTTATAAATTTCAATCGAAAAAAGTACCAGCTACTTAATCAATGAATGCCATATTTTTTTTTTTCTTGTAGGGAAACGGTTAATGTTATCACTACCATAATCACTTATTTTGAAGAATATGCGTGGTAGGCAAAATTTCTTTGTCTACTTCCTGGTATTCTTTGGAAAGCTGAAAGTTTCAAATTGTCTATGGTGACGTCATGTGTAACTGTTATTCGGAACGAGGCTGATATAAATAGGCGGGTATTTGAATTCCCGCTGATCTAACTTGCTAAGCCGATAACACTGGTTTACAAAAAAATCTCTGAGGCAAGCATTGGAAGAGGTGTTTTATATATATATATATATATATATATGTGCTGAATCTAAATTTCTGAACAGTTTTGCTTATCGCCTCTATTTTGTTTTTTTTTTTTTTTTTTTTTTGCTTTCACATATTACATTAATATTATACTGTATATACATTTAAAATAAAATATTTGATCTATTATAAGGTATATCATAAATAGCAGCATAGATACAGTGTATTAAACGTGTTCTCGTTAAATATCTCTTTCTGATTCTAAATATAAGTGCCCTTCTCATTCCCATTTTCCTTAAAACTTCCACGTCGCTAACATATTCCGTTCATGGCATTCTCAGCATCCTTCCGTAGAAACACGTCTCTGATATCTCGAGACTCCTCTTTATCTGTAATATTTTCCAGTATTGTATAGGAGAAATTATATTACATAGCAGTCCAGCATTGTTTATTTCTAACGAAATTTTCCTCCGCCTTAACGCTTTGTTTAGTTTCTGAAAGGCATCTTTCGTTCTTCCAATGTTTTCTCAGATTTCTGCACCACATTTTCCGTCCTCGGGTTCGACACTGCCCAAGTAAATGTAAGGTTTCGGTTTTCCTTAAAATAACCTCGGTGAATACATGTTCTGTTCATGGTATTCTCAGCATTGATTTTATTGAATTATTTGCTTTTTACGGCTTATCAACCTTTTTGAAGTTATTTATAGCAGAAACATAATTTTGGATTGTAAGAATATTTTGGAGCTAACAATGATTTTCTGATAAAAGTCTTACTATTTAATCCATAGCTGAGGTGAGAAGAGGTGGATCCATACCTTTCCCAACGTGATATGACCATAAGCCATTCTCAGTATTTTTCTGTGTAAAAATTTGATCTACACAAATTTGATATACTATAAATTTATCTTTCGTAGAAACTTTTCTCATTTTAAGACGTAGTAGGGTTGAAATCTAAAAGCTCTTTCTTTACAACCACTGAACTGTTCTTGGGCTGAGTCTCTGATAACTTAAAAGTCATTAGTGTCAAATTGTCAGTAGTTTTTAGAGCGTTACATGAACTTGGCTCTTTACTAGTTGTTATACCAGAACGTATCTATTTCTCCCACAGATAAGTAGTAGTAGTAGTAGTAGTAGTCGCCAGTGAAGCTGAGTGAGTTGTGTGAGTCGATGTCGGACATTGAAATATCAACCATCACAACTAGATTGCTGCGTCATTAACTATTATTTCAAGTTCTTAACGTGTTGTACGTCGAATCTAATTTAGGACCGACTTAGTGAAATACAAGCCTCCACTGTGAAAACTACTCTACAACACTAGTCAAACTGATCTACACTTCTGTCTGTTATTGAAAAGAAACTAAAAGTAAACCTTTTCAACTATTTATTTCTTTGTTTTAATTTTGTTTAATCGGCTTAAGAGGAAGATTTTACAAGCATAATTCACTAACAGAAATAAGATCGTCAAAATGACTTAGATTGAAAAAAAATAATCAACTTTAAAGAAGATATTTTTTCTTCTCATGTTTAAAAGCCTGGAATCAATTTTGTACGTGAAATAAATGCATACGAATATTGAGGCATCAAATAATGTTTATTACTGTTATATAGGAACGAAACGTTGTGATAAAAAATGGCAACAAAGATGAGGACAATAGGCCGAATAATGTAAATAGTGTACATAATCTTAAAATAGTCACAAACACTTCCAAAACCATTATGGATATACTCAGATCCTCAAACACTAATAGCAATATTTCTGAAGCAGGCATTTATGAAATAAATTGACAAAACTGTTCCTCCCAATATATTGGAGAAACAAGTAGAAATTAAAAAAAACGCATTTATGAGCACAAAAGAGACGTCACAAAAAACAACTTAGCTAATGCAATAGTCATACATAGAAATAAATTCAACCATAATTTTGATTTTAAAAATGCTACACTCATAAAAAAGGAAATAACTCACTCAGAAGGAAAATCCTCGAGAGTGCCGCCATTGAATATTACCCAAATATTAATCTACGCCCTTGCTTTTTCCCTATTTCACCTTTTATTAACAGAATTACTGCTCTCCCAAACAAACGTACAGAACAGTATCAAGAAATCAAATGAAAATGGTTGAATCCGTCAACGCAGCAATAAAAACAATATCTCCACACGTGACAGTAATTGACGTAATTTCAGTTAACAGTATAAAAATAGCGTTCCCTAAATTCTTTCAGTTGCTAAGGACATTTTGTTTTGTTATTATTAGTTACTTTGTTTAATAAATTCATTTCGTTTCGCCTTGAAAAAGTCCACGTCGGGTGAAACGCGTCTGCAACTCTTACAGTTTACCTATTATCTTTTACATTTATAAATATTGTCTTTTTCTACAGGTTAACTCTGAGAAATTTTTCATAATACCTCATCTCAGAAATATAGACAGATTCTCTAGTCCAGTTATTAAATTGGAGGAAAATAACGATGCATACCTGATAACTATGCAAAGTTACATTAATCTTCAAAAATGTAAATGTAATGTCTATCATTATCTTCTGTCTTCATAATTTTTGTTCTTTGATTGCTCGCCCCTTAATAATGGTTTTCTTGTATTCTTTCACACTCATTAACCACCTGCGTGTTAGTGGCTTTGTTGCCTTTCTTGGGGTGAAAAGATTATTAAAAAAAAGGTGTAAAATACGTGATGAATTTCATTATGTATATTGAAAGTCAAATCAATGAGGGGAGAGCGTATCAGTTGTCAGTTTCCACTTACAACCTACTTAACACCTTCGTCAAAAGTAGCATTTAACATTACAATCATTACAGCGTTTGCGTCTTCGAGGTTCGTGATAAAAGCTGTAATAATAGCATCAGTATTTATATTTCGGAACCATCAACACCTAAGCTTTGATGCAACCGACAGAATATATCTTGTCTGCTGCTTCATCGGAAAGCAGGAGTAGAAACAAGTAAATAGGACAACTTTTTATTTTGTTTTTCTTCAAGCGTCTGACTAGTGTCACGTAGACACTCTATTGGCGTCCATAGCGTAAACAACATCTCGGCACGTAGCCGGAATATCTCTGCAGCTTCCCGACCCAAGTCGGTCACGGTAAAATTAATTCTTACCTCACGCAGTACGTACGCACCGTACGATGTGAATGAACGACGGGGAATGAATGAATAAATAAAGAATTAGATGAATGAAAGTCCAACGGCTAAAAGCTACTGGCACTGTCGGGCGTTGGTTAATGGTAAAATACTCGATAAGCATTTATTTTTAGGGATTAAAGTTTATGATTTTTATCTACAGATGGAGACCGACAAAGGAAAATCTACTTACTTTGATGTATATTTAAAATGTTCCTTGTCGGCTTATCTTTCCTCTGTGCATCATTGAGTAAGAATGAGGCAGAGAGAGAGAGAAAAAAAATAAGAGAGAGAGAATTAGTTAAAAAGAAAGAAAGCGATAAAAAGATATCGAAAAAGGAAGGAAGAAAGATCGAGAAAAAAGAAAAGAGAAAAAGAAAGAAAGAAAAAAGAAAAAGAAAGAAGGGAAAATAAAGAGATAACTGTAAAAAGCAAAGCGAAAGAAAGAAAGAAAGAAAGAAAGAAAGAAAGAAAGAAAGAAAGAAAGAAAAGAAAGAAAGAAAAAAAAGAA